TTATTTTGAAAATTTTCTTGTTTATTAACCCTTTCATTTTTTTGGTATTTATTTTGATTATTATTTCCTTGATAATAATTTCGATTCGCATTTCCATTAGGATTATATATATTATTTTTTTTAATTTCCTTGATAGTTATTTTGTTTATTTTGCTAGCCTTGTTATTAATAAATAATAAATAAATGATTGTTAATTAAGTAATAAATAATTATCACATAATTATCAATAATTAATTGGTTTTTTACGCCAAAATCTGTCGGTTATAAAATGTGTTGCAAATTAGGATAAATTTAAAATAATTTTTACAATCTCCAACACCTTCAAGATAAATGAAAAATAGAATATTTTCGCAGAAAGAAAGTTTAAAATTATTAAGTTTTCTTTAATTCCGATAAAAAATTATTTGCTACATATAAATTTTTTATTGATATTAATTGCATCAATCTGTATACAGTAGTAGACAAATTGATGCTATAAATTTTGTAGCATTACTAAAAATTTCACAACAACATCACACTGCGTTAAAGTGGGCAAGAAACAAAAAAATGTACTAAGCAAAAAATCAAAGTGTATAAGGTTATATAGAAGCAAACATAGATTTGCAAGATATGGAATATGGAAGACAATTAACACACGCAGTTTTTAATACCACAATATCGAATGTACACTTAAAATGAGTGGAATGGTATAAAAAAATTATCAAAATAAATCCAAAAACAAAACAAAACATAAGAAAACTGGAGACAAGATATACAACTCAAATATAAGTAAAAATAAATATCTAAACATTATTTTAGTAGAAGAAAATATGGGTACATTCACACTGCATAAAAAGGGGTCACCTATTTCTGATACACTCCAAAAAAAAGAATCGACAAAATTACTCCTCTTGTCTCTAATTTTCTTGTAACAGAAATAAAAAGCATAAGTAAAAATTAATTTTTTAAACTATAAAAATATGCCTATTTGAAAAAATTAATGAATTTAAAAAACATAAAAAGTAAAACTTATTAAAGTCAATACTGATGGTTAATTAAATTAGAAAAATTCAAAATAATGCATTAAGAGAAGAATGGAAATGTTATTGGTAAAAAAAGAGAATAATTTAACGAATAAAAAGTATTTAGAATTAAAGAAAAATTTTGATTTTTAAATGTATGTAACAGGTATGTTAAACAAAAACAAAAATTATATTACTAGAGCAAAACGATAAATCAGAGTATTAATATATGTAAGACGGTCAAACAATGCGGAGAGTGGATTTGCGGACTAACCATATAGTAATCCTGAGAGGGAGACCTGCCTGTCACAGATACATTCTGCACCAGAGTTCTATTGCTCGTCTGAAAGTAGGTTATATATTCAGTTTTACATAATCAAATAAGTCCACTGTTCGTTACTTTTTTTTAAGTATAAGTGTTAAAAAGCTTCTTAAACAAGCTCCGTTTGCTTTGTAACATTGCAATTGTAATCGCTGAACGAGAAAATTATTTTTTCAATTTTGAAACAAATATTAGATCTCATTGTAGTTACTATCCTGAAAACAGATAATTCTAATTACAAGATCTTATGTTTCAAAATATGCCATTGATATATTCAAAAAGACAGTCTACATCTTTTTCTTTAAAAAATTTCTTCTTGATAACCAATACTTTTTTTTAAAGAGATCTAAATGTTTTCTTTCATTGGCTCTTTTTTTCTATATTTCTTTACGTATACATACGTATTTTCCTGACGTCAATTTTCCAGGCGTTTGCTTTTTCAGAAACGTCAAATGATTTGACAATATTGTGTGCCTGAGTGTTAAAACGACGTGTCTCATGTATTCGTAAAATACTTTCTTCTTGGACCACCAAAAACTCTGCTTTATTTAATGTTAGTATTAAGGAATTATGAGGAATTGTCAAATGGTAGAATTTTAATTTTTACGTTGCTTAAAAAGTGTAGTTCAATCGCCTAATCACTTTCATAAATATTGTGACAAAAATATGTTTAAGCAAATCTTTCAAGAAAAAAGATTTGCATAACCATTTAACATGAGTTTAGTCAATCAATGATTACACGTAAACTTAATTTTTTTTGTAGATTATAAACAAGCATTTTATACTTCACAGAATAAATGGATACACGCAGAAAAATTGTTGTATAATGTATACAATTCGTTGAAATCTGGAATGCTTTATAAAAGCCAAAAGATCTATCACCGAGTTAAGCTACTTCTACAACAACTTTTTTTTCATCTGTTTGCTACGGAAGGTTACCATTGTCAAATTGTCGTCAACTACCGCACCCTGCTCTAGTAAAAATATAGTGACTTTATAGTTAAAATTAAAAGTTACTATAAAATCACTAAATTTTCACTGCGGTAGTTGACGAGAATGATGAAAAATGGCGAGTGCGTTTTGTTTATGACGATAAAAAAAAAGTTGTTGTAGAAAAAACTTTACATCTGAAATTTAGGTTGGTTTCCATTGTCCCTACTCGCCATTTGTCAGAATTCGCGTCAACTACCGCACTCTGCTCAGTAAGAATTTAGTAGCTTTATAGTAACTTTTAATGTTAACAATAAAGTCACTAAATTTTTACCAGGACAGGGTACGGTAGTTGAGGAGAATTATGACAAATGGCGAGTAAGGACAATGGAAACCAACCATTAGTGGCGCTAAGAAATAGATAATCCCATTTATTGGATCGCGTTCCAAAGTCCAACGAATTTTATACATTATAAAATCTTTTTTTTCTCCATGTAAAGAAAGGAAATAAGTGCAGAAGTAAAAGAATAATAGAGGACTATATATGGACCATTCCTAATTGGCTCTTTATAGAGTTATGTAAACACCATCTTAATGTTAAAAACTAATTTACTAATTTTTTTTAATGTTTGTGTATATATAAATGTATGAATAAAAAATAAAACATTGTATATTTTTATATTACATATAAAAGTCAATCAACTATTAGTCGAATCCAATATATTAAATAAATAAAAAAATCTTATTAATTTTACACAAAATATTAAAAACATAATATCTTTTTAAACATGCAACAGATAGGTGACTAAATTTATTAATATTGGAAATAACTAAGATCTAATTGACCTTCCTTTATGTAGATTTTAGTATTAAGTTCGCATCTTCAATTTTCAGGGTATTTAAATATTAAATTATCAAATCGCGTAAATGAATTTTACCGTTTCGATTTTTATAAAAAAAATAGTAACCGGAATTTACCATCAATATTAGTCTTGAAGTAGATTGCTAAATTAAATTTTCAAATATTTATTAAAATTAAAACGAAACATTAAAAATGGACTTTTTGTGTATTTTATACACTAAAAAAAAAATTCTTGATTTCAGCCCATTTTTGAGGCTGCATTCAACGAAGTCAGTCCATAAGGACAAAATACATGGGCTGAATTTAAGGTGCAAACGGTTTTAGACTTTTGTTTTTACTGTGTACAAACGACTAAACTGTTTACATAGAAGAGAAAAATAAACAAATGTTTAAGATACAATTCCAGTCAAACTTTTAAACATTAAAATATGTTTAAATTATATTATTATTATTCTATTACATTTAATACAATTAATATAAGTATTGATGAATTGCATGCAAAATTGTCATTGAGAATGCAATATTTGAAAAACATCAACAAAACAGTATTAGGCTCATTAAATTGATTTTTTTAAATTACCTATTGAAATTTTTATTTTTAAAAATTATTTTTTAATTACACATTTTGCAAAAAAGAAAACGGCAAATTAATTTACATTTATAAATGATATATATTTCAAAAATAAAAAAAAAATTTTATTTCTAAAATCCATTTTTAACAATAATTAAAAAATATATTCTGTATTATAAAAATCAAAAGTTTGGCCGAAATGGTATATACAACATTTTTTTATCACGATAATCCATTTTGACTTCATTTTTTAACGCACTATGTGCCCTTTGATATTCTAATAAATTTATCATCTTTAAAACCACCAAAATTTATAATTATAATCTTTAAACAATATCTAAAGAAGATTAAATAAATAATGAAAAAAAGTTAAAAATAAAATAATTTACTTATTCGATAATATAATCATTAAATCATTTTCAAATGATTTTTTTCAACGTTAATTAAAATTATTTATATATAAAAGTTACAAGTAAGACTTGTAATATAATTTAATTTTCTTTTGTATGAGTTTTAATTTTCTGTTGGCACACTTTCATTCGGCGTTTTTTTTAAGCAACGCCAGCAACAGAATAATTAGTTTTTCGACATTCGGTATATGTCGAAACTGTTGACAGATAATGTTAATAGTTTCTGGGAAAAAATTCTAATAGAATTTTCATGTCGAAAAAATTTGTTCTGAAGCAGTGACCTAGTGTATCAACGAAAAATTAAACATTTTCTAAAATATATAAAATTCGAATTTTAAAATATTAAAACTGTATTTAAGAAGTATATAACGTTTTCATCTTCAAAAACGAATTTTATTTAAATATTTTTTCCAAATAACAAGCATTGCCATTTATTAATCTGAAATAAAATTAGTGCACCTATTTGAACATGCAAATAAGATGCACCTTTTAAAATTCTATTTAATAAAGGCTGAATTTCATTTCATTTGAAGGAAATAATTTTATGAAGTGGATTTTATATTAAGTATATATTGTGGGATATTTAAAGGTGTGCCATCGGGTAGATTCAATTTTCAGTGTAAATTGCAATCGATTTTAGCAACTTTTATAACTTAAAAAAGTAAAAAATAAAGTATTTTAAAAAAATTTAGAAACTGTTAAAATCAATTAAGTGAAATATCACTCGACTTAAAATTTAAGTGTCGATTGAAATTCACCTGAAATTACTACAAAATAAAGGAGATATATATATATAAATATGTCTGTTCTGAACAATAAATTAAGTTAAAAAGTATTTTCTTTCAATGATAGGAAGAATGTAAATTTTGAGTGATAATATAATGAATTGCAGAAAAATAATTACCTGAGTTTGTAGTCGTGTGAGACCGCGAATCCATAGAATTTGTCCTGCGCGCGGCTTTTTATCCGAGTCAGGGTCGTATTTTTCATCTCCTAGATTGATGGCACCAATATCATCCGGTTGTCCGCGGCCCCATCTGTTTTTAAAAAAAACATTATACCAATTTGATTATTTTTTTGAAGGCGGCTCCACGACGCCTCAGCAACCATATTGATGTTTCCTCCTTCGCTCCCCTCACTCTCTAACGGGGTAAAAAGCAAATTCTAACAGAAAAATTACACTACAATTAACGCGAGTGCAAATATAGATAAATACAAATGAATGCCAATCTTTTACAAACTTGCACGTACTAAAATGTATTTATGAAAGAAACATAAATTACTTTTAAAAAATATATATATGAGTGACAAAAAGCTATTGAATAAGGGAAAAGAAGGAGGTTAAACACTATTTCGACGCAGTGAATAATTTGGAATATTTATATGAAAACATGAGTTGAATACACAGTAAGGCGTTTTATATATAACTAATAGTCAGCTCTGATGTAATAATAGAGAATCTGCTGAGAGTGTAGAAAGGTGTAATTTTTGTCTATACAAAAAAAAATTTTAAGTTAATTTTATTAGTTGCTATCATAAAGGATTATGATCCGGTTTTCACTGTGTGGGTTAAATTTAATCTTCCGAAAGGTTAAAGCAGTAGATCTACTATTTTCTAAATTTTAATGGTCGCTTTATGACTCCAGCAGTACTTGACAACATCGGGACATTTTGTGTGACACGAGTATTTTTGACGAAAAGTAAACAAGGCGATCTTCCAAAATAAATACCGACAAAGTTCAAAAAGTAAAGGAATAAATGAGATTAAAATCAAAAAGTGACAACATTGATAATAATCGTCATTAAGTAGCAATTTTATAATTCGACAATTTTTGTAAATTCTTGCATCTTAATGCATGCATTAGAAAATTTTATAGGTTAGAAAATATATTTTTTTATTTCTTTTTAATTCAATGAATGTAATTTAATTGTGCTGTTAAAATATAACGTAAATGAATTTCAAAAACATATTTGTAAATAAATATTAAGGAAAATATAAGAATTAAAGTAAAATAGATTTTTATCATTGAATAATGTCCAAGGTGTTGTGATTTTATCTTGTATTTTAGTTTTTTTTGTAGTATTCTGGCGAATGGAAATTTAATTCGAAGCTTATTTGCAGCTATTATTGTAAGTAATATAATGAAATTTATATTATAAATAAATAATTTTTATGTATAATTTTTAATATCAATAGATAGTGAATAAGAAAACTACCGCACCCTGCACTAGTGACAATTTATTGACTTTATTGATAAAATTAAAAGTTACTAAATTTTCACTAGAGTATGGTGCGGTAGTTGACGAGAATTATGTCAAATGGTGAGTGGGGACAATGGCAACCAACCTTCATTACTGCACCTGTATACAAATATTCTGCGCAGACGCGAATATATCTACTGCCTTTAACTACTCGGAAGATTAACCCACACGGTGAAAACCGGCTCTATATAATCATAGTAGTACCAAAATAGTATTCAAAAGTATTTAAAATAACCCGAACAAAATACGTGACTCTCTACAACAAATTGTTTTTAATTTTTTAACATGAATTTAAAGAATTATGCTTTGAAACATGGTGCAAAAGTTAACCACCATTTTACACCTACAGATATACTGTCCGCATTCATCAGCTTGCTTCCTTCGTGTATCTTCGGTTTTATAATTCGTATTTCCTTCTCAATTCTATCTCATTCTAACATTTAACTTACCTACTATCGTAGATACCCGAAGATTCACGAGAGAAGAGAAGCTTATGTGGTGGGAGAACTGTTCCGAGTTCCTTATTTTTGCTTCCACTATGAACGCTTACCATGATAAATTACTTAATTTTTAATTACTAAATTACTTAATATCTTTTTTGTCTCTGTCATACTTTAAAGTGTGGACTCCTGGAGACATGTCGAGACTTTGTCATTAAAGTCATGTCAACAAAAGATAAAGACGGGAGATCCGGGTTGACCAAAAGAAATCTAAATGTTCGTCAGGGATCACGCAGAAGGGGAAGAGTGGGCTGCGAAGTTCCAAAACGGTAGGACCGCGTTATAAGGAATTTACACTTCGACCTAAAAAGCAAAAGGGAGATGAATTTCCTTGGCGACTAGGCGTTTTGAAGAGTAGGGACTATTCGAAGGGTCACGGAAAAGCACCCTGCTTTGCTTCTTAAATCGAAATGTCCATTTCCTAATGTGTTGCAATGTGCAAAACGGAACCTCATCCGCAAAGACCGAAGATTGGCAGAAATTCCCGGATGGATTGGGTTTTTTTTATGAGGATTCCTCACTTCGATCTAAAAAGCGAAGCAGGACCCTTTTCCAATACTCTTCCAGCAGTTCCCACTCCTTAAAACGCCTTGACGCCATAGAAATTCGTCTAGCTTTTGAATTTAAGATCAAAGTGTAGATTCTCCATTTGTGGGTAAAAGCAGGCATCAGATTCCATCAGTATTCAAGCTTGTGTGCAACCTAAACTAGTTTATATTTATAACGTAGCATTATATTTTAAATAAAAAATGGCTACGCCTACTCGGTAGCCAAATTATCCTAATCCTCTTTAGAATTGATCAGTAATAGTAACAACCGAGCTGGGACTCTATTTGACAAAATTCTTAAATAATAAAACACGTGGACGCTAGTTCATTTTTAATCCTAACGTTTATCGTAGAATATTTGATCAAGTTATTTCTCTAATAACGTCATAAATTATTTTCCCGTCTCAATTATAATTATTTTTTTTATTATTGAATAATTAAAAAACAATAGTAATCGTTTATGTCTTCCTTTTAAAACCGACAATGAAATACTAAACCTTAAGTGGTCAACACTTGCAGGTTGCACTTTGAAATTCACAATGTTCATATAAACCGAAAACATTAGAAAGCAATAAAATGTAGAAAACTATAACCGTGAAATTGACACAAAAGTCTATGAGTTATTCAAATTCTTTTCAAGATATTTAAATTCTTCCAAGTTCTACCTTCAAGTTCCAGTTCAAGATATCATTCAAAAATACAACCTTTAAGGTTCCGATTGAACGAGTTTTCAACGATATTCATCAATTATAAATAAATTGAAAAAGTAAGTAATTTTATTGTATATTAATTATTTATCTTTCTTCTCTCAACTGTATTACTTGTCATACTACCAATTCCAAAAGACTTCATGCGAAAATATTTGCACTCGATAATTCTTTCATACATATAAATTGATCATCATTTTTTTATTTACCTTCCGAAAAGATTTTAGTTTATTTAGTACATTATAATATTTTCTATGCCTTTAAATTTATCCAAATTATAAAACATAACCAATTTGAATGTTTCCTAAGATGTTGACTTAAGTCTAGACTCAAAAATCTAATTAAAATGAATATTTTCATTTAATATTCAGTTGATGTATAAAAAACTGCTAACTTTCAGCTATTTTAATGATTTTAATGAACGGATTTTTTACAATAACCTAGTGTGCAATAATAAAATGGCTGAGTGAAATTTAAATGAAGATAATGATTAGAGAGCTTTAAGAGTATTTGAAGGAAAATCATTTGTGGGTGAATGTTCAGGAATAGAAAAGTAATTGAAAGAAAGTGTTTGCATTAATTAAATAAAAGGTATCTGCGAAAGACGATACACTGGAAAAAAATTGGTTTCGCTACATTATCTATGAGTGTTGCCACAATACCAAATTTCTTTCAGTGTAGATTTAATTTTTATTTCAACAAATCTTCATTTGTTCAATATTTAATGAAGCCTTCTAAGTCTATTTAGAAGACCTAAAAATAAAATATTTAAAGTTTAAATTGTTTAAGTCATTTTAAAACTTCAGACCAATAATCCATTGAAGACTCGAGAACAGTTTTACCTTTTAATTTTTAAATATGTAACCATAAATAAATCCCGTACTAATAGAGTAAGTAAATAGTTGCTAATTGTTGCCTGAAACCGTACCAATTTTCCCTATAAACTTTTCGGAACTAACAACTACAATTTTAAACTATAATACCGTGTCTAAAAACAACTTCATAGTTAGTAATTTTTTAATTTCAAATCATTAAAGATTACAACGGATATAGTTGAAATTAGAAAACAGGTTGAGATACATTTCACTATTAAATTTGGTTGGTAAAACCAGAAATTTATGATCAATAATCATTTCTTTTATCATGTAATTGATAAATTCAAATTTAAATTATAGAGAAAGACAGTAGATTTAGTGGTAGAGATAGATATGTGTCGATGAAAAAGATAGAAATTTCTACTCTATCCAAGAATTCAGTTTACTAATATAAATTAATATGTCAATTAAGGCAAGTAATTTAGATGTTGAAACATTAGATTAAATATTCAAAAATCTGCATAAATATCTTATTAATTTTTAAAATAATAAACATAACTGTACTTACGAAAGAATTTTAGGAATCTTGCGTGTAGGAACTGTTGTTACTAGTTGGCCCCACAAAAGAGTACCGATTCCAAAGAACAGACACCACATCCATTGTTCTACAGTTAAAGCTTTTGTGCTGAATGCCATCTTACCATACTGAATAATAACTATCTATAAATAAAAAAGATTCATGTAAATTAGATAAATAATTTTCATTTTTAAAATTTTAGATTAATTTTAATACAAAAATATTGAATTTAGTTTTAAAATGAATTAGTTTAAAAATAAAATCATATAATGAGAACGATTAAATATTGAAATTGTAAAAAATAAAGATAATTTACTTACTTGCGAAAGGCATGTGCCTATCCAAATCGAATAGAAGATAGGATTAGTAAATATCCCCTGGAAGACATTTCTCTGGCCATGAATTTTTCGAGCATTAAATTCATTAAATAAAGTCATCATAACGAAAGTATTAAAAATAACAGTAAAATGTTGAGTGGGTCCTTGGTCATGTTTATTTCGACCTGTTTCGATGCCAAGAAGTCTGTCACCTAAGCAAAGAAGTAAATAATTTTAAGCATATAATTAAATATATATACTCGGAAATTACGATTATAAAAAATAGATAAAAATATAAAAAGAAAATTATTAACAATATTGTCAGCAATAATTAAGAGGTTTTTGCTTTGATAATTATTATATAATCGTAATTTTGATCAAAAAAAGATATATATCGAAAAATGCTTACCAACAAACAGAAGCGTAAAAATAACCGTCAATTGGTAAATTGCTTGCCCAAGAATATTTTTCATCATTGTTCGCGATATAAGTGGTTTAGTTCTACCATATGGCCTTCGAAGAAGAAGATCGGGAGTTGGTAGTTCTGTAGCTAAAGCAAGAGAAGCTAATGTATCCATTATAAGATTGACCCATAACATTTGTACTGCTTTTAATGGCGAATCTTGAACTGCACAAGCACCAATAAAAGCAACGATTACAGCAACAACATTAACGGTTAATTGAAACTGCAAAAACTTAGCAATACTGTCGTAAACATTTCTGCCCCACATTACCGCCTTAACGATAGAAGAAAAATTGTCATCAGTTAAGATAATATCAGATGCTTCCTTGGCAACATCAGTTCCTGCAATGCCCATTGCAAAACCAACATCTGCTTTTTTAAGTGCTGGACCATCATTTGTTCCATCTCCCGTTACGGCAACTACTTCTCGACTTACTGTTGCTTTACTGTCAATAATACCTTTTACAAGTGTATATTTATCAGTTGGAGATGATCTCGCTAGTACTCTCAATTTGGGCCATACTTTATCAAGAAGATGTTGTTGTACTTCCCCATGACTATCTCTAATGCGCTTATTAAATTCTTTACCTTCTAATATGAGAAAGTCTTCATTTGGTTTTAAGATTCCACATTTGAGAGCTATTGATCTTGCAGTATTTATATTATCACCTGTTACCATTCGTACAGTGATGCCAGCTTTTTGACACCTTCTAATAGCATCTGGTACTTCAGGTCGAACAGGATCTTCAATACCAACAATACCCAAACATGTAAGATTATTGACAATATTTTCCTCATCCTCCCAATTAGGCTCGTTGTCTGTATGAACTTGATTAATTTCAGCCTTTCCAGGAACAAAATCTCGGTAAGCAATAGAAATTGTGCGGAGACCGTCACATGCCATTGGTTCAATTACATTTTTCACCAGGCGCTCTTGCATATCCCTGGTAAATTTTTCCAGATGACCCTCTCGTCCATAAATAAAGGCACATCTATAAATAATTTAAATTTTGCTACAAAATCACTATAATAAATACTATTTAAATTACTTTAATATTACAGTTAACAGTTTTGAAACAATAGCACATTTCATAAATGCCTTAATAGGTAGGGGGCCGAAGCCCAATGGGATACGCGGGTCTATGAAGGACTATAATCCCGATTTTCATGGCCTATCCTTTCCGCTACTTTGTACATGAAAAGACAGAGCAGTATGCTAGATGAGGATCACCGACGAGCCGTATGTACTGTAACGTTTGTAATTAAAGAATCAATTTGAGCTCGCCAAGCCAGGGTCTGCTGATTCGAAATAAAAATAATATCAGAATTAATTAAAAACAACAACAAATTATTTATTTACATAATATATTTACAAATGTCAAAAAGTTAACGGAGGTACCGGGTGAATCGCGGAAGTCGGTTTCTAGCTGCGATTGTTGGCGTCTATCGGGACACGTTGAGCCACGGAATCAAGAATATCGTTTCGACGGGTAAAACCACGTTCAAACTAGAGTAATACTCTCTATGATACATATTCGGAATGAAACTCCAGGGGTAAGACCAAGTAAGACCCTCCTCGACTCTGTGAAGCACGAGAGTGACTTTTTTCTGCGGGAGCGCAGCTTATATAGCCGATCGGTGACTAGGGCGCATGCGAGAGAGCTCATCGATGCAGCTCGCGCGGCGTGATCGGGTACTACGTCGGTGTACTCTGCGGTCGGTAATGTATTTATTGACATATGATAAATTTAGTATAAATATTTACCCGCGAAGTTTCAAACTATCGTTACAGCAAGCACTGCTCGTCGGTATTCCGCATCCAGCATTCTGCACCGTCTTTTCTTGTGCGAGCACCTTTAATCGCCTTTTACAACACGCGATGGGAAGACAAATTATCGACTGATCTTCCACAGCTGCCTTACACATGATGGGCACCATCTACCTGGTGACTCGGAACAACACCCGAAAATAAATAAACGGATCTTCGAGGATTGTTGTCGAAGACAAATGAGGTACCTATCAGCCCGGTTCGTCGCTAGTTTTACAGCGTGGGTTTTAGTGGAATTTTCTACCAAATATATAATTTTTATAGGAATTTACATAGGATCCCATGTAAAATCCAACCATCTAGCGGTGTATGTGAGAAACTATAATGATCTACATACGTATGGAAAATTTCCATATATAATTGTACACTTAAATTTATATCGAACTCTATATAGGATTTAATATAAAATTAAGTGTAGGATTATGTATGGGGATTTTTAATAGCTGTGTTAATTATTATAGTTTCATACTTACGCCATTAAGGATTGTCATATTTCTGTCTACAGGTTGCCTGTATGCATGCAGACAGAAGTATGACCATCACATTGATTTTAAATAAAATATTAATTGTAAGAAGTGACAATGATTGTTGTTTCTTGTAACTGAGAAAAAGTGAGTGTGATCAGTTATATGTGGTACGAAGAGAGAAACGCGACTTAAGATTGCTGACGTTGTATTCTGTATTCTGCTGACTAGGCCACTACTCTATGTCATATTGTTAATGAACATGCTATCATTAAACCTTAGTTTTCAACATTGATCAGATCAAGTTTTAAATAATATTCCGTCACCCTACATCGAGACTTTTCTGAAACTTAACATAAACGAACCCATAAAGGTTGGCAATATCTAGTTGCAATGTTCAGTTGATGATATTGACTTGATGATATTTCCATATACATGGATTCTCCAAGACAAATTATGGTCTAACGTCAGTCCAAGATCTTTAACTTTATTGCTAAAATTTATCTTAATTCTTCTGATAAAGAAGAAAGTGTGGAAAGATTTCGTTGGAATGAGCACCCGATGTAGAAATAACTATTGCTTGAGTCTTATCAGGGTTTGATATCATTTTGTACCACTTCTGAAAGCTGAGAAAGTAATGATAGGGGCCCAGAAAGATATAATTTAATATCATCAGCGTATTTATGATATTTATAATACTGAAGTCGTTCCCAATACGTATATTAAACAATAGTAGTAAAGAAAGTGAGGCCCCTTGAGGAACACCACATTTTAATTTGTCCCAGTCTGAAATGTCACCACTCCCATCAATTACTCTGTGATATCAAAAACCCAAATAAGACTAAAACATACTGATTTAGATAATACAAAGGAATACAGCATTCTGATCGGTAGGTCATGAAATCTTTACTCACGTGTGGATATTTAAACAACTATAATTTACTTTCCTGATAATTGCAACTGAATATTCTTAATAGGTCATATTATGTCAAGTTTAAGAAAAGTTTCGGTGCTGTGTCCAACATTTCAGATTACCAAAGTGTTGTGAAAGGTGAACACTTATTAACTCCTCTACTGAAAGTGGTAAAAGAACGATTTTTCTCGAGTAAAAAATCACTCAATTTCACCACTAGTTGCAATTAATCATAATTAAAAACTGCAGACAACCATAACAATTAACTAAGCCTAAAAACTTTCAACCCTATTATTGAATTAAAAAACATTTCACGCTTAATGTTGAATTCAATTATAATCATAACCCTTTGAAGCATGGTGTAATTTATAAATGACATCGAATTGAAATGAATCTAATAGTATTGCGTGCCGTGCCCTTTGTCTCATATACGTCATTTTGGGTTACAAATTTAGATTTTTCTCTTCGCATTCTACAGGCCAACGCAAAACAGATTTTTGCTTTAATGTTTTACTCAATCTTTGTCGATTTAATATTTTCTCACTGTCCGGATCTTTGTTGACATAGTAATTAAAAATCTTTAATGCGAATCAAAGACTTACCTTTCTCTCCAATCATAATGTTAAGATTGGATGGGGAGTCTCCACCTCAAAACATGGTTGGAAAGGAAACACAGCGAAGTTGGCTACTACCTTACAGAAGCGTTGTCGGGTCATGATTGTTTCGGCCAGTATTTTTACAGATTCAAAATAGAAGCAGACGCGAAATGTGTGTATTGCAACGGTTCGGGCGTCGAAAAAGCAGCACACATTGACGACGCGGAGCACACGTTTTTTTTCTGCGGACATTGACGTGAACTTAGGCAAGCCATATTTTCGGCTGTGGGCACTCAAGTCAGAGTTGAAAACATGGTTTCAATTATGTTGTAGAGCGCTGACTTTTGGAGAAACATCAAGTCCTTCATTACGCAAGTAATGAGGACGATAGGACGATGAGGTTGACCTGGAGGAATCCTGCTGCTTGGCTGGGTGCTCGCGGAAGACGGGGAGACCTTAACTGGCTCTCCTCCTTCTTCCGCTAGCGCTCATTTAAGGATTTAGGTAAGGAGACTTCCACTGGCGATGTGAAATTATATGTATAAGGAAATTTCTAAACGGTATAAGTCGAGATCACGAAGAGCTTCAAAAGGCTGGGTTAGAAGGGAACGGCACGCAATTTAACCGATCAGGAAGCAATTCGATCAAAAAGGGTTCATACCTGAAAAACTGGACGCGACTCGAGAACACTGTTCAGCAGGAGTGATTGTAATTAAAACATATTTAAAAAATTAAATGCTTCAAAGGGTTATACATTTTGCAAGAAATTTGTTGAAAAAAAGTAATAGGTATATAAAAATTTTAAATACTTCTTCATGATGATTTCGGAAGCGCCCTTGGTGAAAAGCCTGTAGCCTCCACCTTCTCTGGGAACAACAGTAGACATACTTTTTCTAACGCTGTTGAATGTGTACACTCGAGTAAATGTTTCTTCGGGGTTATCATCACGCACGTTTTGATAACTCTTGCCCAGAGCCACTACAAATCCCAATAAGGCACATTCGGTTTTGTTACCAACTTGCATCGGCAATTCAGTAGGGTCTTGTGAGGGCATTATTCTGGATGTATATGCTGAATTAATAGATACTGATTGAATCAACAAATTGCCAACATGACTCGGAATATCCGAAAACGTGGAAGTTTTGCTCATTTTCTCGCAAATATATGATTGAACTACGGTCATTCTATTGGTCGTTAGAGTTCCCGTTTTATCCGAGCAAATGGCAGTAGCATTTCCCATAGTTTCACAAGCATCTAAATGGCGCACCAAATTATTATCCTTCATCATTTTCTGCAAAAGAAAGTATTCGTGTGATTATATTGAAAAGAGGAAATTTCGAGATTTACCGATGTGTTTCGAAAAATTGAGTGGAATATCCAAATTAGAAGTGAGAACGGTCAGCTTGTAGGTAAAAATTGAAATTACCTTAACTGAATATGCAAGAGACAGAGTTACAGCAAGTGGTAAGCCTTCGGGAACAGCAACAACGAGCACTGTCACACCGATGATTAAATGCCTCACTAATTCATTAGCGTAAAAATTTCTCCACTCCTTCTTGTCAATGACAAAATTTTTAACACAAAATTGAATGACTAGAATGACAACTGTGAGTACGGCTATCGTTGAACCTGCGTAACCAATTTGAATAGCTAGTTTTGTTAATTTAGCTTGCAGGACACTTTTTTCTTTTTTGCCAGGTTCTTCTGCAGGTGCAGGAGCTGAACCATGATGATTTTCTCCTCCCTCGTGTTTCACACCACTACTGCTGTGACTATTTCCAGTGATTTCACCAGATTCATTACCTGTTAATGATTTCTTCTTTCTCTGCTTTTTAGCCTCTAGATAAAAAAAAATCAAAAATAAAGTTTATTAGAAAAGATTTTTTGCATAATTCTAAATAAAGATTGCATTCAGTTGGCTGTAGATCAATTTTTTCTTGTTATAAAAAGGTAATTGAACTGAAGTGTTAATTGTGTACCTTTTTTCATTTTTTTGATTTCCTGTTCCTGCTGATCTACAGCAGCTCCCAAAAGAGTAAAAATAATGCCTGCTTGTGAATTAACGCCAACGGCAGTTACTAACATTTTGCCAGATCCCTCCATGACATGTGTTCCTAAAGAAATATGTAATTTCTTTTGATTTATTTCGAATTTCAAAATTATGAATAATAGAAAGAAGTTACATTTCTAAAAAATTTGATTTTTTTTATTCCATTTTAAAACAATATTTTTAGTTTATGAATTTAAAGGAATAAAAGAATATTCATGCGTAACTATCAAAGTCAGTGATATGTTAAATTGACCTGTGCTTTCCTAAGTATTTCTTTCATTTTTTATTAACTTTAAGGATTTAAACAGATATAAAAGTTTAATTTGAGTAACTTTAGTAATACATACCAGAAAGGACCATGGGATCAAAAGTTTCTCCCTTTTTCACATGGTCCGACTCTCCAGTTAAACTGGATTCGTCTATTTTGAGATCGTTGCTTTGTATGAGAATACCATCTGCAGGCAGCAGATCTCCATATTTTATCTATAACAAATTCATGCTTTAAAATGTAATTATTTAATACTTTACAAGATTAGAATAACTTTTCGACTTCCTTAAACTATCAATTTATTTATTTTCTATTATACTACGTCATTTTTCCAATAAAGTGGCTTTAAAATGCAATTCTGTGTTTAATTTCCTTCAAATTTCATTAAAAATTTGCTAAGTTATATTCGCCACATAGAAGCAATTGTTTTTTAGGCGTGAATGCTGATTTCCAGAATATGCAGTAGACCTTATCGTGGTGGCGGGGCTTTTTACTAAAGGACATCCAAAAACCAAGATGTAAAGTAAGAATTAATTAGTCTAGAATTAACTTGTATACAATTTTTGTCTCCCTTTTTGAGGTGAAATACAGTAGAAATACCACCAGCGAACCAGTGAAAACCATACTTTTGGTTTTGACAAAGATTTTTCCTTGACAACTACAAAAAAAAATTCTTACTTTCTTCCTTGACTAGAATTAACTTGTACACAATTTTTGTCTTTCTTTCTGAGGTGAAAACACAGTAGTTCACTGCCTAAAGCTTAGGCACGAAAAAGCTGAGTGTCTTCAGCGGATCGAAGAGGAGATCGCCAAAATGGTAAAAGCTTTCGAAATCCACAAGAATGTCAACATGACTATTAAGGACAGATTTAAGATTCTTCAGGTCGCAAGGTCTACAAGAAAGGGAGATCTCCTGATCAAAATCGGAGGAGACTCTAATAAGAAGGCATTCACCGCGGAGGTCGACAAAGCGATTGGAAGCAGTGGATCTACAGGTCACACTGGAGATCCGCGATCTGGATTGCCTTACCCAGGAAGAAGAGGTACAACAGGATTGGTGACGGTACTAGGACCCAACCAACGAGGAATAAAGCTCGCGGTTGTAGACTTTGACCCAGAGGAGGTGGACAGGCTTTAAAAATTAACACGAATAAGGATTGGCTTCATGTGTTGCCAAATAAAAAGAAGGGTGATGGTAGTTTGGTGCCACCGATGCTTGACGTACGACCGCATAAGAATTGTTCGTAAGGTAATGGACAGTGCAACTGCGTGCTTTAAGTATGGTCAAATCGATCATAAGTTTGCAAACTGCAGTAGAAGCCCAATCTGCTTCTGGGGGAAGTATGTCGATAAGGCAAATATCAACAATGTCGCAGGCAGCGTAGGATGCGGATTCTTCAGGACGGTTCAAAAAAATTTCCGTAACAGTTACAAAAACTATCTTATTGAATTGCCATAAATAAAAAATTTAGACTGATAGAAATTAATACTTTCTAAATTGACACATAGAGATTATCGTTTTTTTATAGGTAATTTTATAAAGTTGAATATCAGGTTTGATTTTTGTTTATTAAAGTCGAATGTTAATTATAGCAAATTTTGTTGAATTAAGATTTAATTGAAGTAGTATGAACTGGGACATGCAAATTGTCCTAATACTTCGATTAATAAATTCATTAAAAGTTTAAAAAATATGGTCAATTATAAATTTTGTTTAGTGATACAGTGAAACATCTCTAATATCAACAATTTTGGGAAGACTTAAAGTTATGATCGTTTATCCTAATAGGGACTTTTGTTGTTACAGGATGTTGAAATGAGAGATGTTCTAATGTCATAAAGTTTTAAAAAGTATTTTGTGTTAATAGTTACTCACCTGACAAATATCACCTACAACTATATCGGATACGGAAATTTGTTTTACTTCTCCTTGTCTGATAACGGAGAATCTATGTTCTCCTTCTATTCTACTTTGAAGACCTCTAAATTGACGCTCCTTAGAATAATCATTAAAAGCTGTCACTATAACCACCACAATGACGGATATCAAAATAGCAAGTCCTTCAATCCAACCATACTTCGCCTCATCATCATCTATTCCCGGAGCTAGTTTATGAAAAATTTATTAGTATTATTAGATATTCATTATATAAATTATAAATATTAATCATTAATTTTTATAGAATCTATATATCGATAACGGTGGGACGACACTTTTCCAAATTAACTTTTCCCAGTGGTCAACTTTCCCAAAAAGTGCTGTTCCCAAGGAATAGCGTATCTCAAACAAATAAGGTTCCTAATGAACTTTTTTCACAATATTTTGTTCTCCCAAAATAATATGTTTTTTTATTCAAATAATTTTAAAATCTTTTTATTATTTCTCGATTGTCAAAATAAATATATTATAAAATATTTATAAAGGTAAATAAAAAATATAAGAATATAATCATAAATTAAAGAAAACCCCAGTGGATAAAAATTGGATATTGTAATCCATGGTAACATCATTTCTGTGCCGATATTCACCATAATTCCGAAACAATGTTGAAAATTTGATCTGTTCTACTTCTATCTTTACTCCCTCCTTTTCTCACTTTCTGACCAAGTTCTATTTGTCGTAACATTGTTTCCGTATCCGATTGTTCTTCTGTCAATTCCTTAAGAGAAGCGTAGAAACTGGACTTCTTTTTCCCTACAACTAATTGGAATGATAACCCTTTTGACGCATTGTTGGTTCGAGCTCTTCTTTCATGAACTGAATCATACAGCTCTCCATTAATTATGTTAATACCGCGGTTCCTATATCGAAAATTATAGGAGGCGTAAGCTACCGATCTCACTAGCAGACAACAAAACCATAACAGAGCGAAGCGAGATTCATATAAGCAATAAGCTTTCCGCGTTTTAAAACTTTTTTATAAAGATTATTGGGTAGAAATTAATTGTTAATATAATAAATGTTATTTCTTATTGTTTGTTAATTAATTTGTGTGGTGCATTAATACTAAAATCCTCTCACGTCCAGAGTGGAAAAATATAATTCAATAACAGCAAATATTGTATGAATCTTGATAAGTTGGATAATTGATTTTTCTCGCTTTTATTAATTCTGCTTGCCTAAAATAATCGTTCGTTGCTGCTCAAAATGTTCGTCTATTCCCCTTTGTTGTGCTGATCCAGTAATTTTCTTTATTCTTATTTGTGACATCCGATGGTTCTCTTGAAGTTTAAATTTTCAAATTGAGAACTCTATCAACAATCTTACTGAAGAAATAATTGATGAGAATGAGGACTGTACTATTGCGGTTGAAGCTAGATCCTTAGCCAGGAAAGTATATTTACGCGATCAGTTTTCCTGAGCCTTTGCTCATCTGCGATTTGATAATGTGACCAAGAAGTCTATTTCCGATACTCGTATGTTGAGACATACACGGAGAGAATTTTGAGCCTTGAAAGACAGTGTCTGAAGGAGAAGGTTAGAAAAAAGTGCCAGATCACGGCAAATCTCGCAGTGATCGCACAGAATTTTACGGTACTTCACCAGGAATCTCGGTATACTCATCTGAAAGTTTCGGTGTAGTCACCGTCAGAGAGCGCCACATTTTACCGAAAATCAAGATGATGCGCCGTTCATTGGCTAATACTCTGTCCACACATTGAATTAAAGTTTAAATTTCTCTCCGTGTAATACTAAATGATTGCATATAAATTTAGAAAAATTCCTTGGGAGCAGCGCCTACTCGCGCTCGACCAAGAAAGGCTATCAAAATCCAATGTGTCGGTTATAAAAAAGACGCGCATATACTGTAGAATTTATATCATATTCAAAAATTCTGAAGCATATGCTTTTGAATTAAGGGGTCTTGTAAATTTTCTAAACCTTAAATTGAAGATTTTTTTTCTCAAAAGTTTCAACATGTTAAATAAAAAAAAAGTTATGATCTTACAAAATATTAATATTTTCCTTCTATAGAGGGCGCTTTATCCACACTTTAAAATTATATTGAAATGGTTCAATCGGTTTTCGAGTTATGGTGGCAGCCAAATTTCAATGCAATTTTAAAGTGCGCCCTTTATAGAAGGAAAATATTAATATTTTTTCACATCATAACTTAATTTTTTTATTGTTCTAGATATACATAAAAACATGTTAAAAGATTTAACTTATTATATTTTGAAACTTTTGAGAAAGAAAAATCTTAAGAAACCTTTAATTTATGGTTTCAAAAATATAATATAATTCGAAAAATTGTTTTCGTAAAAAGAATGTATGGAGAAAACTTGTTGTCGGAAAAGAGGGCTCCTAGCTCTTTGTGGCAGAGGATAAATTTTTTTTTCATTTAAAGGCAAAAAGAGGTTTATTACCAGGACCAGCCAACTCCTTTGAATGGAATTGGCAACATTCAGCGCCTCTACCACCAACATAGCAACTAATTTTTACTCAGCTTGTATATCTATATATACAATAGATATACAAGCTGGGTAAAATTTAGTTGTTATGTTGGTGGTAGAGGCGCTGAATGTTGCCATTTCTATTCACTGGAGTTGACCGGGCCTGGTTTATTACTTATTCGATTTCTCCGCGAATACCTTTTATATCGGACTTTTACGCATTATATCCCCATCTAACCCCCACTTCTGTAACCAACTTTTATTAGAAGCATTCGCATTTGCCTGAACCTTTCTTGATCAGAGTAGAAGAAAACTAGGTTTTTTATTTTAAAATGTCAAAAATACTCACGTGCATTCTCATCAGAAGGATGATAAAAACTGAGACCTAATGAAACCAACGCAGCTATTTCTAAAATGATTAACGTTACATCTTGCAACGCTTCCCATACTAATTGTAAAAATGTTTTTGGTGGTTTAGGAGGTATCATGTTTGATCCAAATGTGTCTCGCCTGTGCTGAATGTCTGCGTCCGACCCACTGAGACCTACAAATATTATAAAGTTAGTTAAAAAATTGACATCATACATCCAATTTATAAAATTTCCAATATTTTTAATGGATTAATTTTCAATACCTTCACTGGGAGAAGTATATAATTTTTTGCAGATCTCTTGTACTCCTCCATGGCTATTAATCTTATTAACACCTTCGCGACCTCGAAGCTCCATAAGCTCTCGTAGTTGCTTAAGTGTAATTCCATACTGAGCTGGTCGCCCATCTATTGTCGCCATTTCGTGTGTCCCTTAAATATGGCTTTCGCCAATTTCACCACTCTTCTCTGATCTTGTCAATAAGTACCCGAAATTTTGCACTTTGTGCCTCTAATTTGATGGAAGTCCAGCACCTAAAATCATATAAATACAACAAAAATTTTATTATTTTAATAGTAAAACTTTCAGTTAATGAAAAGTCAATTTTTTATAAATAACAAACTTTTAAGAATGAAGTAGACAACAAAATATTAAGAAATTAAAAATCATTAATTGTTTAAATTTTAAATTTAAAAGACTAAAATGACGTGAAAAATGGATGCTCAAACCCATATTTAGTTTAATGTGAGTAGGGGAAATTCCCAACAAATATATTGATTACTGTTAGAAAAAATTTTATTACATTCATGCTAGGTTCATCCGAAAATCTAAAAACGGGAAATTCTTTAATACAAATCTAATACCAGATTTTTAAAATTTAATATAGCGGAACTAAAATAGCGAACAAAAATTGTTTATTACTAAGGAAATTTTAATTTTTTTTAAAATCCTTTGAACCGTTTAATAAACTCATAATAACGTCTTAATTTCATATATTATTAAATGAATACAATAAAATCGAAAATTTGCTGATATACTTCAGGAATTTTTACTCTATATTTATTTTAATGTTTGTTTAAAAAACAAACAAAACTTTTAAAAAATTGAATTTCTCAAAGAAAATTCTAAGCAAAATTTTTAATAGATAATTTTTTACGTATTCCCAATTGGAAAATCTCACTGAATTTTACTATAGAATAATTCTGTAAATAATTTCTTTAAAATTATTCAATAGAATTTTTTTTCTGACTCTTAGAGAATATTTTATAAAAATTATATCTATTTAAAATTTGTCAAAAAATTCATGTAGAAATTATATAAAATCATTATAGAGAAGTTTTATAGAATTTATTCTAGTAAAATTCGATAGAATTTTTTTTACATTTTTTATTTTTGTAAGAAAAAATTTATACTATTCAAAAAAAGTAGAGTAAAAAAACAAAAAGAAATTTTTTTACCTTATAATATAATAGATACGACTCTTAAAAAAATACATTGTTTATTTTTGATAAAAAATTGTACACCCTCTACACGCTAAAGTTTATGATCAAAATTAATTATACTTTGCAATTAAATTACTCACCCATTGATAAACTTTGTGTAAATTTAAATTTGATCTGTGACACTATAACTTACGAATAATAATTGAATCACTTGACAAAATTTTAGATTAAATCATTAGAGCAATAATTTATTAAAATTTTGAAATACTTTTACTTTGTAAGTAAAATTACAGGTTCAATGAGAAACTTTGACAGTATTTAACACAGCAGAAAATTCAATGTTTATATGAAATAACATGATAACTTATCTCATTCTGTAATTTCTCAACATCTAATGTTCATAAACTTTATTTTCACATTTATTTCAGAATAAAGTAAAAGTTATTTTTTAAAAAAATAAAGAAATATTTAATGTATTACATATTTAACCTAAAATTACTCACATAAAAAAATGTTATCCAATAGTCTATTATACTTCCTTTAAAAGGTTATGTAAATTATATCATCGATTTATTTATAATTAAAATAATAACAATAGTAATTTAAATATTACACATAATTGTAAAAATAGTGATGTATTCATTTGTCATTAAAGATATAAATAAATAATAAAAATTCTTTAATTACTGAATAAAATTATTTTATACAATCAAAACAATTACAATATATAGTACTTATGCATTGAATAAATAATAAAACTACTGCTTTTATTTTTATTACCTTATAATATTTTTTGGTGATATCTACAAAGAAGAAATCCAAAATTAATTAACTATACTAAACATTTAAGATAAATCAATAACACAAAACCGGATTTTTCATTTTACTACTGTCTACAACCTACATGCCATAAGACCACAGACGTATAAACAGCTGTGAAAAACTACAGTAGGAGGGGCAATCTACAGAGATGGGTAAAAGTGCTTTTCAGGAGGTTTTCTACGTATAAGACATAAATTACGTATTATACAATACTGTAGAAAAGTTGATTTTCTACATTTCTACCAGAATATGACAACTTAACCTCAAAATATTTTTTCATATTTTAATCATAACGGTAAATAGTTAAAAATTTATTACTGAAATTTTATTTTAAAAAACGACTATAGCTCCATCTGCTCTAGTATTTATTTATATATGTCGAATTGCGCCTCTATGTTCGTTTTTCTTTCAATGCTTTAAACGAAAGAGATTCATTGTCACTTAATTGTTTGCTGTGCTCATGGAGAATAGACTACAGTAGACCAATATAATGTAAACACGGAAAAAATTTTGGTGCACTGGTTGTATTGGTTAGTTTAAAAATTTTTGTACTTTAAAAACGGACATCAGTTATCCCGGTTTGGTGCAATCTATTTCCCCTACAGTGCGTCTGATGTCCCTTACAGTGCTTCTGACACACCAAATCAGGATAACAGTTCTACTGTAGATTGCGCAATCTAATTTAAAAATCATTCTCCAGGATAAAAATATACGTAAATTAAGGTTATGTTATTGAAAACACTGACAAATATTTCTTGACATGCGTGAGATGGTGGTATCTGTGCAAATCTTTCGCCATCTATGGGGATTTATGTATGAATCCCTACAGCAAATGTTGCATTTATTTTTATATTAATAAAATTTATATATAGAAACTGATATTTATAATATGTTTAAATAATGATAGAACTTTCTTGTTTTTTTGATAGTACAATAGATCAATAGTTTTTATATTATGTTAGGTAGGTTAGTACATGTCATTTACTAATATCTCGTGATTACAACAAATTTCACCGATTCAGACACATTCTAGCGGGAAGTTGACAAAACATGAACTTTCTACGAAATAATGCTTATTTCCAAATACATTAGTTTGGTCTCCTGTAGTCTATTCTCCATGGTTGGGCTGTATCTTTACGTCCACGTTTGCCATCTATTGTTCAACGCGTGAATGACAGCTACCGCTGTCGGTAATATGTATATATTATGGTAACTACAAGTATTTAGTGTATACAGGTAAGTACACTACATACTTTGAACGTTAATTATTTAATAATAAAAGCTTAATTACCCAATAATATTGCATAAATCGACTCAAAATATTAATTTATAGGTACTATTCCCAATAGCAATTTTCTCAATATTTCAATTGTATTGGCAATAAATTGCCTCAAACCCAACTAAGCCGTTTCTGGGGTCGCTGATTACGAAATCTGATATATCAGTTTTTCAAAAAACAAAATAATGTAAAATGGTGGACATCATTTTTAAAATGTACATGAATTCATTTGAAACTTGTTATCTAAAGGTTTTTAGGGTCGCTGATGATTACGCGAATTTGATGTTAATTCTGGTTGCCCTCAAAAGGAGGAGTTCTATCATCTCTACTTCAATCCTTAGTAGTGAATGTAGCAAGCTTGCTGTATATTTGCACTGCATTCTTGCACAGCGAGCTTGCTGCAAGTTTTCGTGCCAATATAATGTTGGTGCGATACAAAAAGGTGAACATATATGTATTTCTAAAAATATATTAAAAGTATAACTTACAACATGCGTGAAAATTTGTAGCCTCTTCTTAATCTGCTATCTACAGGTTCGACTCCTTAACAGAAAAATGTTAATGTTTTGTAAGTCAACTGTGAAAATGATTTAAAAATTAGACTTAATATTTAACACCTTATTAATACAAAATTACAATCAAATGACTAAAAGAATATAATGTAGTCTTTTTTGGTTATAAAGTTTTAGGGGTCGTGCACATAATACGTCACTCAATTTTTTGCTCATTCTAAATCCCCCTCCTCCTCTAATGTCACTTTGTATATACCTATAATATATCGCTAAAAATTAAACAAATATTTGAGGTACTTAAAACCAGTTTTATTAAAAAATATGTACTCAAAACCCAGTATCATATTAGTGCCGATTTACTGCGATTCGGCACTGAAACGGGACAGGAAGTTTACCAAACAAAAGGGACGCAAAAGGTTTAATTTTATGTCCTAACCGGCATTAAATTTTGTCAGATTTTGTTTATGTCTTATCGTTTTCGAGATATCTATATATTTTCCAAAATTCGAAATTTTTCTGACGAGAAAAAATGAATGTAAATGTGGAGTTAAATATAGCCCTTAATATGACCTTAAAATACGGTCGTAAAATAAAATAACCATAAATTGCGGTCTTAAATATGACTATAAATATGAGTGTAATTACTGTTTCAAATTTGCGACAGTAAGGGTAGTAAGTATAGTCATATTTGTTGTTATATTTATTGTAGTCCTTTTTCAATAGGGATGGAAACATTTGACGAATTTTCTCGCATAAGTGTTAAGAAATTAATTCATATTTTGTAATGAACTGATAAAATTATTAATATTAATGATACAACACGATGAGTTTTAATCTAAAAGTACTTCCACTACACTGTAAAAAAAGGGAGTTAGATTTTAACTCCCAACTCCGGTTGACACTAACTCCACAAAATTTTTTACAGGTAATAAATATCTTTCCATATATTGAATCAAGACACTTTTCTAATTGTTTTGTAAAAAAAACCAAAACAATTGTGCAGATTCAACATATGGTATAAGACATTTATACTGAGAGCACCATTGGGTTGAAATGGATTAAAACTCACCGTGATTTTAAGATTTAATTTATTGGCATTTCAAAACTATAACACTGTGAAATGCCAATTATTGTGGCATCTTGAATTATTTAAATAATTATTTATTCCCCTTCTATCCATTTAATACTTATTGTTAGATTGTTAGCAACATGAAAGAAAACTATATCAGGGAATTTTTAAATGCAATTGAGTTAATCCCATAAAGTATAATATATTTTTCCCAACAAAAAAATCCTTACCTTACATTATCCCCTGCTAAAGTCACCTCAAAATGCATTTACAAAACCAGCAACTTCACAGTGCATTTCGATTTTTATGATAATAATTTTCCATGATGAGCCATCGGTTAATTAGCCCGTCCGTGAACTGGTATATGTATAAAAAAATGAGCCCTCATTAGAAGAAAGGAACAAGTATTGATTCAAAAAGTTTTTCTTCCTCCATTAAGTGCGATAGGATTAAGGACATCATTTTGTAAGTTTAAAAATGTATCGATTCCAAATTTGATTTTCTTTTAACTTATTTGAGATATATTGTTGTAAAATTGGTTTTGTTTGATTTTAATGGAATTATTGATAGATCTTCTTTTCCAATAAATTGCAATGAATTACTGAAAAAATAAAAGTTTTCTATTATCCTTGTATTCTTTTACTTAATATAAAAAACGGTATAAGTCAATTAACTCCCGATTTCTGTACTCTATAAATTTATATTTGAATCGTTTAAGATTTTTTTTTCAAGATCTGAAGTGAACATTTTTGAAAAACAATAATTAATCCGCATGTACAGAATCGTACGTAATCTCAAGAAAATGTACATGAACTTCAAATTTATTTATTCCAATTTATTATACCATAACACACTAAAATAGTAGGAAATTTTTAATTCTTCTGAATTTCATTTATGTCCAATTCTTTTGTATCCATTCGGAGCAGTTGAAAATAAGCTCAGTTTAATTCTTTTCAAAACCATTTAAAAATTTTAAGCAGCTTTAATGTTTAATTAAGTCAATTATAATTTGGTTTTTCGAGATAAGACTTATTTTTTAATTAGATATACAATGATTACAGCTGAGAGTTAAAAAAATTCACTGCGCAGCCGTAGGTCCCATAGAATTCGACTGCGCATCGTTTTAAGGTTTTTCGACCTGACGCTAGCCTTGGTAACCTTTGCTAGGGAATCGAGTAGCCGGAAAAGGTTAGTTTAGTGCGCATTGAGCAAGTGAGTAGAAAATAGTTTTTATCACGTGATATAATTATCATTTAGTACTATAACGTAACCTCAAAGTAGTTTTACTACATGCCGGAATAGACGAAAAGATAGTTTTACCACATACGAAGAGGTCTTACCTCATAAGCAGTTTTACTGCATAAAAGTGGTTTTACTGAACAAAATCCCAGCTATATACATTTGACAATTCCCCCAAAGCATTTCTTTCAGTGCATGTGAAAATTTTCAATAGGGTTAAACTTTTTAAAAATTAAATTAAAAACCTTTATAAGAATATAAATATATTCAAATTAAATTAAAATTCATTCGAGTAAAAAATTCGACCTTTAAACTGTAATAATTATTATTTTCATATGGATTTAACATATAGTTGCGAACAATAAAATTGTAATAATTATTTTCATTAATTTAAATCTCGCGTGTTACCGAATTATATCTCAAGAACGGCTTGACTAATTTTAATAAAATTTGGTAAACTAATAGATTTATAGATTTTGACAAAAAAATGTTTTTTCTTATTAAAATCAGTCGAACCGTTATTAGGATATAATCCAGTAACACGCGAGATTCAAATTTTGATAAAAAAAATGTTTTTCATTTAGCGAATTAATGTTTATTTATAATAAAATTCGTTTACACCAAATCGAATATAAGTACATTATTTAGGTCAGATTTGAAGTCACGCAGTTTTTAAGAATAAAGCAAAATGGACGTATAATTCTGTAGAAAATTTAGGAAACTCTTAAGTACTGTATAAAATGTATCATAACTATTCTACAAATGGATGGAAAAAATTTTAACCTACATGTTTTCGAAAGGTTTTTTCCTATTCTTTCGAATGGTGCAAAAAATTTGTTTAAAAAGTTCAAAATGTCCTTTTTAAAAAAAATCAAAAATATTTTTGATTTCCATAAAAGAGGTAAATTTTGAATTTTTAAAAAAAAATTTTGCATTCGAAAGATCAGGAAAAATATATACTCAACTTACCCGTAAGTTTTCAGCAAGCTTACAGGTTAATAGAGTAGTTTCATTGTTTTAAAATGCGCTACGAAGTTATGTACATCAGTACTGTTCAGATATACCTTCCCTTTTTTAGATTCAAGCCTCAGAAGATAGGTTTTCAGTATGCTTTTTCTACAGAAAGCATCAGTATCGATTGACCTATAAAAAAGTATATATTTTACCTGAATGTGTAGAAGTTATCGTTATTTTCAAATTTTTACGAAATTAAGACTTTTATATTTTCATTAACATATTGTTATCAACAGGCATTTTTAATTTCTGTTTTATAAAGAAATATGTAACAGTGAAGATTATACATATATATTTTAATTATATTAATACTATTTTACAAAGGTTTAAAAAATAAAAAAAATACTAAGACTGACGTATTTCAACCAATCCCGTTTTTGTGAAAATGTGACATTTTTAATAATAATAATAATAATAAATTTTTATTTAATAATTTTCCTTTTTTGCTAAACCTTATTATTTTCAATGCGATTATGTTCATATTGAGAATGGTAATTATGACTGTTTCTGCAGTCGTATTCACTGTCACACTTAATTAATTTAATTAATTCATTTCATCGTAATGCAAATATGTTAGGCTAGTGAAGTGAAAATGAAAACACTTTTCGGTTTTAGCAAAAATGGAATAAGATTTATTATTTGTGCTACAAGTGTTCCAGCAGTTCGTTTTTTTTCTAAGGCTGATTTATTTTTGAAGAACTCCAAAAACAGGCTGAGTAACAACCATATCTAGTATTCTTTGTACTTAAAATCATGATTTTCTTTAGAAAAGAAAATAAAAATTTAATTTAAAGAATGTAGAAACATAAATAATCTGTAAGATTAAAATTTATCTAATACTTTTCTATCAAGCGATTAAAATTCACAATTTTTATTTATTAAATCGATATACACTGGTAGTAATGGAATCTCTTAAATTTTACATGTCTCGTCTTGAGTGCACAAGTTGAGGTAAACGTCCATCTTGGTCTTGGTTTTGACTATATTGTCTCGTCTCAAGCCTTAAGTCATGAGGCATCACTAAACACAATGACTATATACATATAATCTTTAGAAATATCCTATTGTTATTTTTCAGAAATTAAAGAAGACGTAGTTATAAGATCTTTAAAATTTATAAATTGAAGAACAACGTTCTTGAGAATTGTGTTATAGATTTGAATTAGAAACTTTAATTTTCAATTCCGTAATGAGAATCAGAAAACAAAATTGGTATCATTTCAAAACTAAACTAAATAATCGCAGATGCAAAGGCGATTGAAATAAGATACAATTTACGGAATAAATTCACCAACGCTGAAAACAACAACGATGACGACTGAACAATGGAAACCAACCAAAATTACAACTCCAAGGATTCAGACGCCCTGGACTTGGTTCTATAGCTTTTGCAAGGTTGAATTTCTTCTGATGATCCGTTAAACCAACACCATTTGGCTGGACACTTCTACACAAAACGGAACTTCCGTTTAGCTTTAAACTTCCTAGGTGAATGTCCCTTGGATCATGCTTGCGGCAAAAGGTATAGCAGCGCAAGCATGATCCAAGGGACATTCACCCAGAAAGTTTAAAGCTAAACGGAAGTTCCGTTTTGTGTAGAAGTGTCCAGCCAAATGGTGTTGGTTTAACGGATCATCAGAAGAAATTCAACCTTGCAAAAGCTATAGAACCAAGTCCAGGGCGTCTGAATCCTTGGAGTTGTAATTTCC